TGGAGGAAACCAGCAGGAAGTACTAGAGAATTCATGTATCTCCCAACTCTTCTGAGCTCCTCATCTTTACTGCCCTCTCTACCCTGCCCTCAAAGGCTGAAAGAAGTATAGATCAATGCTAGGCTTCAACTAGTTAGTTCAATGATGTTAACATAATTTGTGAACCATTCAGTTAATTTAAAACCAAAAAAAGAAAAAAGAAAGAAAAAGCTGTTTTAGTTGGGTTAGTGGTCATGTCTGAATTCTAAAGAATCCATAAACTGTTTTGGCCTTGCTTATACAGAGCCATCATTTACACTTTGCTTATTTTTGTTGTGTTTTTTTTTTTGTAAGATGGTGTCTTGCTCTGTTGCTCAGGCTGGAGTGTAGTGGCGCGATCTTGGCTTACTGCAACCTCTTCCTCCTAGGTTCAAGCAACATTGTGATTTTTTTCATGGACTTGCTTCTAGTTGGAAGTGAATTATTTGGTTATAGCACAGGAAATTGACAAGAAAGGTGCCTTAACAATTTTTTTTTGTTTGTTTTGTTTTTGTCTTGCTCCGTCACCCAGGCTAGAGTGCAAAGGCCTGATCTTGGCTCACTGCAACCTCCACCTCCCGTATTCAAGGGATTCTCCTGGCTCAGCCTCCTGAATAACTGGGATTACAGGCGCCTGCCATCATGCTCAGCTAATTTTTGTATTTTTGTAAAGACAGGGTTTCACCATGTTGGCCAGGCTGATCTTGAACCCCTGACCTCAGGTGATCTGCCCGCCTCGGCATCCCAAGTCCTGGGATTACAGGCATGAGTCACCAAGGCTGGCCCAATGTTCTAATTTATGGAAAGTAAGAAATAGGTTGTTTCCCATAAATACTGGGAAATTTTGAAGAGTCAAGAAACATGCACACACATTATGTAAAAAGAAAAAAGATTGTCAGATGGGATCAAAAGATTGTTGTATTGCTTTCAGGATTGTTACATTTGGATCACTTCTTCGTAAATAGGAAGATGTTAGCTTGAGGAACTTTGGAAGTTAACTGTTATAGGAGTAATTATATATCTTTCATTCCTTCAATCCTTCATTAATTCAACAAATATTTATTTAGCGTTTACCACAAATTGAGCAATGTTTTGGTTTTGAAGTCGCAGCACTGAAGAGGGGACTTGTGCTCAGAAAATTGATTCTTGTTGGGAAGACATACGCAGACAAACAAGATAAGTCAGAAATGGTAGTTTCTCTACCATGTAGAGAATTAGAATGGGTGACTAGAGATTCAAAGCACTTTGGATGAGGTGGTCCTTGAAGACCTCTCTAAGGAAGTGACTTTAAGATAATTATCTGAATGACACAAAATTAACTACAAGATTTTAGGAGAAAGCATTCCCTAAATAGGAACTGGTTGGTGTACAGGCAGGAATAGGTTTTGTGCAACTTAGAAAAGTCCAGAGCAGCTGGGGCATAGTGGGCCAAGGGGAAGATGTTCTAAGTGGAAAGCAGAGAAGCAGGCAGGCCCAGATCAGCAGGGCATGTAAGCCAGGATGACGTATTTAGATTTCATTGTGATGATAACGGGAAGCTACAATCTAGGAGGGCAGTGACATTTTTGATTTGCATTTTTAAAAGTTGTGCCTGGCTTCTGTGTAATGAATGGATTACACAGAAGGCAAAGTAAAAGCCGGGAGACCAACTAGGAGACTATTCTAGTAGTCTCAACAGGAGATGAAGGGGCTATAAACTAGGGTGAAAGTGGCGAGAAGTGGCAGATTTGGGATATATTTTGGAGGTGGATCTGTCAGGATATCCTGATGGATTTGCTGGAAGGAAGAGAAGTGGTGAGATAAAGAGATTTTTGGTTTGAACCAACAATCTGGTAGTGATACATACTGAGACAGGAAAACTGGTGAAGAAGTTTTCAGGATAAAAATGAAACAGTTCTGTTTGGGCCATGTTAAGTTTGAGATGCTCACTAGACATCCAGGAAGAAATATGAAGTGTGTATATATATATATATATATTTCTTTTTTTGAGATGGAATCTCACTCTATTGCCCAGGCTGGCATGCAGTGGCACCATCTCGGTTCACCACAACCTCTGCCTCCCAGGGTCAAGCCATTCTCCTGCCGCATCCTCCCGAGTAGCTGGGATTACAGGCACATACCACCATGCTGGGCTCATTTTTGTATTTTGAGTACAGATGGGGTTTCACCATGTTGGCCAGGCTGGTTTTGAACTCCTGACCTCATGATCCACCCACCTCGGCCTCCCAAAGTGCTGGGATTACAGGTGTGAGCCACCCCGCCCGGCCTGATAGATGAAATTTAAAGCCAGGGGACTAGTTGAGATTACTTCCAGGCTGAGTATGACAGATAAAAGCAAGGGCCCCAGAACAGAGTAGGACACTCCAACATTAAGATATGCAGTAGAGAAGCCATCAGACAGAGAGGCAATGCGCACTGAGGAGAAAAACCAGAAAGTATAGTGTCAAGGAAGCCAAGAGAATAAACTAACTCAAGGAGAGAGTGGTTAACTGTTTTCTATATAGGAAACAGTCAAAGTCAAAACAATAAAGTAGTCACTGGAATAGGAAACATGCAGGTCGTTAGTGATCATAAGAACAGCCTTATTGGAGTCAGTGGGACACAGGCTACAGAGGCTTGATTGGAAAGGGTCGAGAAGAAAATATAGAGTGAAAAAGTGCAGCAACTATAGATGTGTAGGCCATCTTGAAGATCTTGAGAAAGAAGACAGAAATAAAGTGTAACAGGAATGCTGCTGGGCAACGGTTAAAGGAGTAATTACATACCTTTCCTTTGAAGGATTCCTTCAATCCTTCCTTCATTCGTTCAACAAATATTTATTTAGTGCTAATCATGAATTGAGCAATGTTTTAGTTTTGGGGTCACAGCAGTGAAACAGGTACAAGATCCTTGTGCTCAGAAATTTGATATTCTTGTTGGGGAGACATATACCTGAGATCTGTGGTTATTAACGCAGAATGAGCCCAACAACCCAAGTTATATATGTGTACCTCTAGTGATATTTAGACACTTTCCTATTCCTATATATATGTGTGTGTGTGTATATATATATATGTATATATTAGATGAAGTCTTGCTCTATCACCCAGGCTGGAGTGCAATGGCGTGATCTCAGCTTACTGCCACCTCCACCTCCTGCCTTCAAGCGATTCTCATGCCTTAGCCTCCCCAGTAGCTGGGACTACAGACATGCAGCACCATGCCTGGCTAATTTTTGTATTTTCTGTAGAGACAGGATTTCACCATGTTCACCAGGCTGGTCTTGAACTCCTGATCTCAGGTGATCCACCCCCCTCACCTCCCAAAGTGCTGGGATTACAGGAGTGAGCCACTGTGCCCAGCCTTCTATTCCTATTGATTCTGTGCAGCAGAGAGTAGGTGGTTAATTGAACTTAACCAGGGTTTGGCCTCTGCTAGACAAAAGCAATGGAGGAAGAGAAAGGTGAAGAAGTGGCCGGGTGTAGTGGCTCAAGTCTGTAATCCTAGCATTTTGGGAGGCAGAGGTGGGTGGATTACCTGAGCTCAGGAGTTCAAGACCAACCCTGGCAACACAGTGAAACCCCATTTCTACTAAAAGTACAAAAAATGGTGGTGGGTGCCTGTAGTCCCAGCTACTCGGGAGGCTGAGGCAGGAGAATCGCTTGAATCCAGGAGGCAGAGATTGTAGTGAGATTGCACCACTGCACTCCAGCCTAGGCAACAGAGCAAGACTACATCTCAAAAAAAAAAAAAAAAAAAAAGAAAAAGAAAAAGAAAAAAGAAACAAGAAACATGAAGAAGTTAAGCATATTTGCAAAGGGAAGATTGTAAACTTGTACCACGGGTTTCAGGAGGGGTTTTGATAGAAATGAGTAGGCTAGGGAAATGACTGATAGTAAGAAAGTAAGAGGGGCCAATGGATTTGAGGTCTTGCTGGGGATCAAAGTAAATAGATGGTGGGGGAATATTAATGCACAAGAGCTTAACAGATAGGAATTAGTGGTCAGACACGGTAAGCAGAAATGCTATGTGTAGGAAGCTGCTAGATTAGTGAAGGGTATTCTTACATGATTGTTTCACCCACTGCTTATTTTCTTTTGGAGTAATTAAGTTCTCCAGTGTATTATCCCAGTGATGGAGTTATCATGAATTGTGCAGGGGAGTACATGGATTTTCAAATAATCCATGTAGCTCAGCTGTAGATGAGAACCTATTACATTATTCAAAGGATTCTACAGGAGAATTCCAGTAAATAAAGTCTTAGTATGTAACATTAATAAACAGTTTTAAACTTTTTTTTTTTTAAAGACAGGGTCTCACTTTGTCACCCAGGATGGAGTACAGTGGTGAGATCATAGCTCACTGCAGCCTCAACTTCCCTGGGCTCAGGTGATCCTCCCACCTCAGCTTCCTGAGTAGCTGGGACCACAGGCTCACACCACCATACCCAGCTAATATTTTTTTAGACGAGTTATTGCCATGTTGTCCAGGCTGGTCTGGAACTTCTGGGCTCAAGCGATCTGTCTGCTTCCGTCTCCTGAAGTGCTGGGATTACAGGCATAAATTCAGTGTGCCTGACCCTAAACTAATTTTTGAAAAACAAAAAAGAGGAAAAAAGTCACTTTTATCACTCCATGTCGCTGAGAATGTTTCCCATATTGTCTGAAAATAAAGCACCTCATGTTTAGAAAGATGGAAAAGTATGTGCTTCGTAAGGGCATTATCACTGGTGATTACTAATAAATGAGCTGTAGGCATGACTGTTCTGCTGCACCATCAAGAGACACACACACATAATAAAAAACCAAATATATTTGGAATAGCAATATCATATTACATTATATAATGCATTATACTTTACAAAACATTTTCCTATTCATTAACTCGTTTGCAAATAATATTTAATTTTGTGCTGCTTTTCAAAAGATCTGGAAGTACTTTCCAAAAAGCACTCCATTCATTGCTTCATAGGCTTCATTCAGTGTTCAGTTGTTTTTTTTCCCCCCTCCCAGCAAGGTTAGTTCCATTTTTCCCTCTCCTTCCCTGTTCAAGCAATATTAAAGGCTTCTCTTTTTCTACCAGGGTGTTAAATTGAGCCTCTTGGCTTGTGAATATTGGCAGAATAGTAGGATGCAGAAGCTGTGATTTCTCGAGTTAAATAATGACATCACACCTGGAGGTCAGTTCCAAGTCCACGCCGTTTTGGCACGATATTTATCTGTGACCTCTTTTTTTTCTTAATCTATAAAACAGAGGCATTAATGACAATTTACTTCATATATCTATTATCAGAATAGGACTTAAAATTCCTTGGGAGGTCAAGCACGGGCTTTAGAAAATGAAAGCACAACATGTGAACATCAGCCTGTTAAAAACTGTTTTGATCTAGAAAAGACAACCTCAAACTTCTCTTGACAATTCAAATTCCAGCTTCTTCCTACCCTTCTTTTCTAAATCTTTGCTTTCTCTTTGGCTGAAATTAGAAGCAGGAAGGGAGCAGGGAAAGGAAACCAGGGGCTGGAAAAGGGCAGGGGAGCCCAACAGACCGGTTAAGCACGTCTGAGATTCTCTAGTCGGCTTCAACCCAGAGGCTAAGAGGCAAAGTCAGCGTTTCCAGCAGAAACGAGGATATAGCTCAGGCTCAATACCTTGTCCACAGTCAGGAGCAATAGCCGGAAGGGTGACATCGACGCATTTTACAAAACAGCCTGAGGAGTCCCCTCCTCCCGTCTGGGTCAGGGAGGGACACCCCCAGGGGTCCTCGCCCGCCTCCCACTAGCTGGCACGCGGTCGTCGCGCGGGCGCGGCCCTCTGACGGAGCCCAGGCGTGCGCTCCGCAGCCTCGGCGTCCCCCAGCTAGCCGGAAGAAGCTGCGGCGACAGCGTCCTGCCGCCTGTCCGTCACGCAGCCGCCCACGCTGCCACCGCTTCCGATTGGTCGCTGGCCCGGACCGGCCCCCTTCAGCCCCGCCTCCCGCGGATGGACGGGCGAGGGGCGGGCCCGCCACCGCCCCGCCCCCCGGCGGCCGCGGGCGGGCCCGCCCAGCTGTCAGTTACAGGGGCCGCCCGGCGGGCGGGCAGGAGGCGCTCGCAGGCTGTCTAGTCGTTTGCTCGCTCTCTCTCGCGTGCTCCCTCTCGCCGCCTGTGGGGAAGTCGGGGCCGCCCGAGCGGTCGCCGCCACCGCCTCGCCCCGACCTCCTTCCCGGTCCCCTCTCGGCCCAGTCCCTCCCGCCCGCGCACCCCGAGTAGTGAGTGGCCCCGCGCAGGGTTTGGAGAGTCACCGAGGCGGCGCCGGGTGGTGGTTAAACCATGTTAAGGAGGATTTTACAGAGGGTAAGAGAGTGAAACCGTCTTTCCGGCAGCACGTGAGCGGGACAGCCGGAGCTTGGGGCCGCGGCGCGGGCGCCCCTCATCAGCGCGGGCTCTTTCCTTCTCTAGGCCCCACAGCCCGGCAGGCTCTTAGGCCTCGGTCGCCTGGCCCGGGGGTGGGGAGGGCGGGTGGGGCCGGCGCGGCGGGGCGGCAGGCGGAGCCCTGATGGCCCCGCGCGTCCAGGCCTGGCGCCCGCTCCGGCGCGAGGCTCGGTCTGTGCGAGCAGGCTGCGACCTGGAGGGTGTGGTGCCGGCGCGTTCCTCCCGGGATCCCGGAGTGGGAATGAAAATGGAGAGTTGGTGCCCGTGGGACGGGCCGACTGGCCGCCTGCCGGGCTGGAGAACGCCCCCTGGGAGATTGCAGGCGGCTTGCTTCGCCCTTCCCCACCCGCCGCACTCCCCGTGCCCCCCAATTTGACACGACGCGCACCTGCCACACACGGCCCCGCTTTCTCCTTTGGGCCACATTGGAAGGTGGTGTGGTGAGCCCCGGCCTAGCTTGGGCCCAGTCGTGAGACTGACACTGGCAAAGTCAGCCGAGAAGGAAGATGTTACTCACTGTTGGAAACTTTTTTTTAATTAAAAAGAGGTTTTCTGTCCAAGCCCCACTACCTTATTTGAGCTATCCGAGAATAAATCCGCAGTAAGCTTGATCAAGTGGTATACACTTAGTTTCTGCCAGTGCTGTCTCTGAAATCTGGAAAACCTTGAGGATAGAAAGATTAGAGCATTAGAAAACTGTAAGTGTATCATTTAGGAATCAGTTACTAGAATAACATAATTCACATCTCTTTTCTTATGAGTTGTTGTACCTATCAACTGTTAAATATTTTTGGGGGCTATAGCTTTTTTCTTTTCTTTTTGAGGCTGATAGGGTGTAACAAAATGTAAATGATTGAAAAGTAGGTGCCAGGCCTATTAGTTCTTTACCGAGGGAGTAGCATAACTAGTTCAAAGGACAAAAGAAATTAGTTAATTTGTAGGATTCAGCCGAGGAATGTGCGGAAGAGAGTTGAGTCATCCAGTAGATAGGAAGGGAGTGCTCTTGCTTCTGCCTAGCTTTCTCCTAAAAGAATGAAGTCATGTGAAACTTGGTCAGTTATTAGAGGGAGAAATAGTTAACTTCTTTATCTGACAACCTGTATTGACATTTAATTGTATTTTGCAGTGTTTTGTCAGTTTTGAAATCCCGATCAGCGATGATTTTGGCAGTAGCAAGGGCATGTCCTTTACTTTTCCCATCACTTCCTTAGTTCAGCAGTAAAGACATCTGTGCATTATTTACTTTGAGGCTTTAGGAGATTTTTCTTTTATCAGACCTGGAGGAACTGATTACCTCATGTTTCAGATTGTGTTTCTGTCATAGTTCCGCAAGTGAAAATTAGTTTGCTCGTGGTTTGCTTTGAAGTTTACAAATAAAAGTGTTTACTGGTTTAAGAGTGGCTTCTGTAGTTATAGATTTGTTTTCAGAAATAAGGGATGCTTTCTAGTAATCTTGGTTTGAAGTTAAACATGGAGATTATATGAAGATCATTTTTAATGTTGGTGCATACCTATCAACTGTTAAAAAGCTTCCCTTGAAACTACAAAAGTGAAATTGATTGTGGTTGTTGCCAGAGATGTGATATTGAATCATCACATCCGAGTAAGTCAGTTGACAACTGAGTTTCTTAACGTCGGCGCTATTGGCATTTGTGACTGGATAATTCTTTGTCGTGAGAGGCTGCCCTGTGCCTTGTAGGATGTTAGCAGCAACCCTGGCATCTACCCCCACTAGATGCCAGTAGCATTCCCTTATATTCCCTTCGCCCTTGTTGTGACAACCAAAAATACCTCCAGATTTTACCAGGTGTCTCCTAGGGGCAAAATTGCCTCTGGTTGAGAATCAATGTGTTAAATGCATTAACTCTTTAATAGGAAAGTTTGAAGTGTTTCTCACATTTAAGTACTTAACTTTCTTTTATTCGGTGTATTTATATTGAGTTTCAGTAAATGCCAGTCTTCATGCTAAGGGCTGGGAAACAGTTGATTAAGCTGTGGGTCCTCCCTTTGGAACTCACAGGCTGTTTGGGAGGTGAACTTTTAAAATGACAGTGATATGTAATAGAATAATGAAGAGGACAGAGGACCCAGGAGGCACTCTTTGGGAGGAGGTGAGGGTAATTAGGAAAAGCTTCAGGGAGGAGGGCATATTCACAGCTCAGAAGAGGGAAGGGCATGTCAGGCAGAGGGGACAGCAAATGCAAAGAGATGGAGTCATAAAAGGCGCACTCCCCACACTATGGGGAGTGTGAACAGTTAAGCTTAGGAAGTGAGATGGTCTGTAGCAATTAGTAAGAGATGAAGCTACCGTGGTGGCTAGAGACCAAATTGTGAGAGGACTTAAGAGTCCCTTTGAAGGAGCTCAGCTTTTATCGTGTAGTTGGGTCAGTGTTAATGCTGAGTATTTAATAGGGATATTTTGATAAATGTCTTAAATCTGGTGATTTACTAGTTTAGAAGGTAGAATATATATTTTACTAACTCTACAAGTGGTATTTACCAACAAGTATAACTTGAATCTTTAAATTGTGTAACATGGCAACCTTTTTTATGCCACACTGCTAGTCTTATTTCTCAGCATAGATATTAAGATATAAGATGAAAGCTATTGTTAATTTAGAGATTTATTTGCAATGGACTCCGTGCTTTGAAATTATGTGGCATTCCTTTAATATTTTGTTAAATGTTAGATGACCTTTTAATTTTAACTATTCTTATTTTCTTCTGAATAGTGTCCTTTAAATAGCATTTTTTAAAAGAAGAAAGAGACAAAGTGCTTACAATTAATTAGAAGTCAAAGTCTTTGAACATCATCAGTCTCAGGATACTTTACAGAAATTTGGTTTCTGGTTCTTCTGCTTCTGTCCCTCCTCCTGCTCGTGCTCCTCCTTTTTCATTAGCTTACTATGGTGTTTCTCTGAGGCTTGAAAGAGGCTAGAAAACAAAAACAAAAACAAAAAAACCTCAAAACAAAACCAAAATGAAGTAGCTCCAATATGTATATATTGAATATTTTACTTTAGAGTCCTTTGAAGAAAAACATGAATTTAAAGTACTTAATGGTTAGAAATTTAATCAACATTTAGTACCTTAGGCAGCTTGTAAACCTTGTTGCCATTTCTTTCTTAAGTATTATAACTTACTGTGGGCTGGCTTAGTGGCTCATGCCTGTAATTCCAGCACTTTGGGAGGCCGAGGCGTGCAGATCACTGAGATCAGGAGTTCGAGATTAGCTTGGTCAATGTAGTGAAACCCTGTCTTTACCAAAAAATACAAAAATTAGCCGGGCATCGGGGTGCACGCCTGTAGTCCCAACTACTTGGGAGGCTGAGGTGGGAGAATTGCTTGAACCTGGGAGGCAGAGGTTACAGTGAGCCAAGTTTGCACCACTACATTCCAGCAACAGAGTGAGACCCTGCCTTAAAAAAAAAAAAAAAAAAAAAGAAAGTAACGTACTCTGATTAGTGGTTTTTTTTTGTTGTTGTTGAGACATCTATTGTGGGCCTACTGTGTGCTGTGCAGACAGTGATGGGTAAAGCAGGCATGAATTTCTGTGGAGTTCAGTGTCCAGTGGAAGAGAGGAATTGTGAGATTCATACAACTGTACTATTGAATGAGTTCTAGGAAAGACACACACAGTCCCAAGAACACCCAGTAAGAGGGCCCTGGTCTTAGATGTTGGGAAGGCTTCCCAGATTAGTTGTACGTCTAAGTTTGATGAAAGTATTGCTAATTTATTGAAGTGAATTTTAAAAAGTGACAGCTAATGGAATGATTTTCTTTTTGAGTGGTTTTTTTTTTTTTTTTTGGCATGTTAGGAATAAAGAGATTAAGATATTAAAGATCCAGGACTAGAACTGAGAATAAAGAAGACATTAAGAAATGAAAGAACCAGGGCTAGTACTCAGTTTTATTCTCTAATTCCAGTGGACTTTTGCTTGAGCTAAAGAAATAATGTAATTTAGTAGTTAAGAACATGAACTCTGATGCCAGACTCCCTGGGTTTGTATCCTATTTCATTTACTATCTGTGTAGTTTTGGAGAAGTTACTTCTCTGTGTCTCAGTAAAATAGTTGTAATAATACTACCCTCCTTACAAAGTGGAGAACTAGATAACTAATATGTATAAAAGTCTTAGCCAGGCGCGGTGGCTCACGCCTGTAATCCCAGCACTTTGGGAGGCTGAGGTGGGTGGATCACCTGAGGTCAGGAGTTTGAGATCAGCTTGGCCAACATAGTGAAACCCTGTCTCTACTAAAAATAGAAAAAATTAGCTGGGCGTGGTGGCGGGCACCTGTAATCCCAGCTATTAGGGAGGCTGAGGCAGGGGAACTGCTTGAACCCGGGAGGCAGAGGTTACAGTGAGCCGAGATAGTGCCATTTCACTCTCCAGCCTGGGCAACAAGCAAAACTCCATCTCAAAAAAAAAAAAAAAAAAAAAAGTCTTACATGTTAGCTGCCACTAATGTTGGTATTTTCTTATTGTTTTTGGTGTTTAACTTTCTTTTCTTTTTTGAAACAAGGTCTTGCTCTGTCAGCCAGGATGGAGTGCGGTGACACCATCACGTTCACTGCAGCCCCTGCCTCCTAGGCTCAAGTGGCCCTCCTGCCTAAGCCTCAGGAATAGCTGGGACTTATAGGCGTGAACTACCACACCTGGCTGATTTTTTAAAATGATGTTTTAGTGTCATTATAAACTCCAAATTTCTTTAAGGAACACTTTTCTTATCACTTCCTTTATTTTTCTAATCTCCATTTTTTTTTTTTTTTGGTAGATGAGGTAGATGAGGACTTAGAACATAGGTGCATTCATTTTGTGTACTACTGAATATTTATTTTGTGCTAACTACTGTGCAAAACACTCTTGAGAATAAAAAACAACAAAACAAAAACCTGCTGAGCTTTAATGGAGGAGACAGATAAATAATTACAAAACAATGTGATAAGTGTTGTAATATATACACAGAGGAAAAGTTTGTAAGCACAAAAGAAAAAGTAACTATGTGGTGGAGAAGGGGTGTGGTAGGGGAGGGCAAGGAATAGAGATTGTGGAAGTCTTTGCAGAGGATAGAAGTGACTCAGGCAAGGAGGGACAAAGGACAGAAGGGCATTTTAGAGATCGGAACCAGACAAATCCAAGGCATGATATAGTTTAATATAGAGTAGGGGGATTGTGAGTATTTCTGGATGTGGATGGGATAGTTGCAACAGGTAGCTTGAAGGGTTTTGGATCTTATACTGTAGACAGTAAGGAGCCACAGAGAATTTTAAAGTTATCAAATTTGTAATAAGGAAAACCCTCCAAAAGTAGTTCTCCCAGATAATCTTTACTTTATTTTATTTTATTTTTGAGGCGGAGTTTTGCTCTTGTTCCCCAGGCTGAAATACAATGATGCAGTCTTGGCTCACTGCAACCTCCGCCTCCCGAATTCAAGCAATTCTTCTGCCTCAGCCTCCTGAGTAGCTGGGATTACAGGCGCCTGCCACCATGCCCAGCTAATTTTTTTTTTTTGTATTTTTAGTAGAGACAGGGTTTCACTATGTTGGCCAGGCTGGTCTTGAACTTCTGACCTCAGGCGATCCGCCCGCCTCGGCTTCCCAAAGTGCTGGGATTACAGGCGTGAGCCACCGCACCCGGCCAGGGTAGAGATTTTTTTGTTTTCTTTTGTATGTTTTGGTCTAACATGGTGCTTGATGCCTGGTGGTTTTTCAGTAGTACATATTGACTACTTGGTGGCCCTGTAGACAGGATGACTTCCTTAGGGAGAGATCAGCTAGAAAGTTATTGTTGTTCTTAAAATTGTTGCATATTGGAATCATTTGGAATTCTTAAAAACAAACCAGATTTTTGAGTTTCTTAATTGAATCAGAATTTCTGGACCTCTGGCCCTTAGTCTAGGGGATAATGAAAGCTTGAATTCAGGCAGTGGTTTTGTGGATAGAGAGAGAATAAAGTGATTTTCAAGAAGAGGAATAGAATTGCTAGAACTTGTTGACTTGTGAGTAGTTTGGGTAGCTGTGAGGGTGGTGGACTAGACCTAAGATTAAGGATAGAGGTGGAGGAAAAGGTTGGGGAAGAAGATAAAAGTGAACTAGAGGTCTGGACTTTCCAAGTGGAGATGTTCAGTAGGCAAGAGAAAATACAAGTCTAGCACTCAGGAGACAAGTAGAGGCGGGTGTTAGGTATATGTAAATGTTGAAGAGAAGTTGAGTCAAATAAGGACTGAGAAGTGCCCACTGAATGTGACAATTGGGTCATACCTATTTCGGTTGCAAGAGAGTCACAGGGGTAAATGAATGACTAGGAAGTAAGGGAATAGAAACAGGGAATATAGACTACATGGAAAGTGTTGAAATATTAAATGCATTAATGTAATCTGTCATTCTTTGACCATCTGCTAATAACTTTCTTTTTTTTTTTTTGAGACAGAGTCTTGCTCTGTCGCCAGGCTGGAGTACAGTGGTGTGATCTCAGCTTACTGCAACCTCTGCCTCCTGGGTTCAAGTGATTCTCTTGCCTCAGCCTCCTGAGTAGCTGGGACTAAAGGCATGTGCCACCATATCTCGCAAATTTTTGTATTTTTCATAGAGACAGGGTTTCACCATGTTGTCCAGGATGATCTCCTGACCTCGTGATCCGCCTGCCTCAGCCTCCCAGAGTGCTGGGATTACAGTTGTGAGCCACTACACCCAGCCAATAACTTTATTTTCAAGGATTACAGATCTCAAATTAGTTTAAGTTGAAAGAGGGATTTATTATAAGGTTTCATAGTGATCTAAGATCTGGAATTACTGTATACATAGTTGGGTCTCTGGAGAGCAGGACCTGGAATGTGTCAGGGACAGAGGCAGCTCTTTTCTCTGTCTCACACTTTCTGATGGACCACTGGCTTCTTATCCCCACTTCTCTGTGCCTAGTCTCGCTGCTGCTTACTAAGTATGGCCAGGATTTTGATGGCCATCTGATATGATTCCACATGCCTTTCATGTTAACTTTGCATAGCCACCTGGCCCAATGTCTTGTTTCCAAAATCCCAACAGAATAATCTAAAACGTTTTTCTCATCTTTTCTAGTCAGGTCATGCATAGGTCTCTGGATGGCCAATAGAATAGTTTCCTCTGGGTCAAGTGTCCATTGCTGGTCTAATCAACCAATGTTGGGGGTGGGGTAATATTGTGTCTTCAGGAGTTGTGGCAGCATGAAACACATCTTTTGTAGGTCGTTCGTCTAGAAATAAACCTTACCATGGCTCTGTAACAGTGATAATGTTTCTGATTAAGTTCATTTGGTTCTAGGAGTAAAGAATCTATCGGGTTAGCTCAAATAGGATGGTAATGGCTATAAGGATACATTCTGCAATTAAAAAAAGGTAGAATTTCATAGAAATCCAAGACCAAAAAATGTCATATGGGGCTGAGCCTCTGATACATCTTTACTGGAAGTCTTTGCAGGATTAAGGCAGTGCTCTTTGGGAGCTCTGTGACAGGGCTTTATAGATTTTTCACTGTAGGGTTCATCTGTTAAAGGACTTAGTTCACCTGTTTGCATCCTTGTTTCTGCTGTTAAGTAATTTTTTTTTTTTTTTTTTTTTGAGATGGAGTCTCGTTCTTGTTACCCAGGCTGGAGTGCAATGGCGTGATCTCGGCTCACCATAACCTCTGCCTCCCTGGTTTAAGCGATTCTCCTGCCTCAGCCTCCTGAGTAGCTGGGATTACAGGCATGCGCCACCATGCCTGGCTAATTTTGTAGTTTTAGTAGAGGTGGGGTTTCCTCCATGTTGGTCAGGCTGCTCTTGAACTGCTGACCTCAGATGATTCGCCTACCAAAGTGCTGGGATTACAGGCATGAGCCACCGCGCCCAGCATTTCTTACTCTTTATTCTAGTTTTCTTAATACCATGGCTTCTGCACACTCAGAATCTATGGTCTTTTGA